TGACCATGAGTGGGGAGGGGGTGAGAGAAAGGAGACAAATTTCAGATTAACCTGCCACAAGTGCTGTGGTTAAGGAAAGACAGAGTTTATGGGCATAGTAACATCTAACCTTAGTTAGCAGGGTCAGAAAAATCTTCACCTGGGGAAGATATATAAGTTGAAACCTGAGAATAGGTAGGAAGTTAGAGGAACAGAACTTTCCAGGCACAGTGAAATTCATATTTAAAAACTGGGGGCAAGAGAGGGCACAGTGGGTTTAAGAAAGTCATAACTGAGTCTGACAAGGACCTAGAATGCCAGAGGATAAATGGGAAGCAGTGAGGGCAGAAAGGTTATGAGGGCTGGTAAGTCATATTAATCTTATCTTGAGGGCAACAAAGAATTATTTTCATTTTAATCAGGGAAGTGATTAACCAGATTGACAGTTTATAGGGATCATTCTGGCTACATTGTAGAAAACAGGCTGGCGAGGATCAAGATGGAAGCAGAAAAACATTAGGAGGATGTTATAGAAGTCCCTGTTAGGGAAAATGAATGCTTAAGCAAGGATAATGGAAGATAAAAGTGAATATATTTGAGAAATATTTGCTAATTAGAATCTTCAGGAGGTGGTGATATACTGAAGAGACATAAAAGATGATATTAAGACTATAGTTGGAGAAACAGGATGGATGGTGGTCCCGCTGTTGAGGTGGTTAAACATGGAGCTTCCAGTTTGAGGCAAGGGGAGACCACATGTCCAGTTTACTTATATTGAGTTGGCGGTTCTTCTTACTCTTCCAAGAAGCAATATTTAGTTGGCAGTTAGTTATGAAAATCTGGAGCACAGGTAAGAAGTTTGGGTTTGATATTAAATGAGGAAAACCAACCTAGCACAAGAGTAGATAAAATTATTCAGGACATGAAGGAAAAGGAAGAGAAAGTGAGCTAGGACAGAACCCTGAGAAACACAACACTTAAGGGAGAGAGAAAAGAAGACTAAAAGAGGAGAATAAAAAAAGAGCCATTGGAAAAATAAGAGAAAACCAGGAGTAGGTAGTGTGAACAAAAAGCTGGAAAGAATATGCTGCAAGGAGGAGGCAGATATGAGCAAGCACTTCAGAAAGCTGGGCAAGGTGAGTGCTGAAAAGTGACCATTCTGTGACAAGGTCATCAGCAGTGATCTCGTATATCTCCGTGGAGTGGCTAGATACACAGACAGTAATCAGAAACATAACGCAAATCTTTCGAGAATACTCACCATGAAGGTGAGGAGAAATGTTGAGTAGTGTTAAAGGCTTAAGGTAGGATTTTATAAAATGGAAGGCTTGCGTATGTGTAAATGCAGATGGGAAGGAACTAGTTAAGAGAGGTTCAGTATCGAAAAGAGAGGGAATTATCAGCATAGCAAGGTTCCTAAGAAAATAGGAAAAAAATAGGATCCAGAGAGAGGAATTAGGCTTAGATGGATTACTTTTCTGATGTAACAGAAAGAAAACATGAATGTAGATTGATACATAAGTTTGTAATTTGGTGGAAGAAAATTTAGATATTCTTGTCTGGTTTTTATTTTCTTTATGAAACAAGGAGGCAAAATCATCCTCCAAGACAAGAAACAAGGCAAGATCCAACTTTGACTTTTTAATAGAAACTAGAACCCAAAACCATAGACACCCAGAGTTGAAAGAGTTCAGTGCCCTTCACTGTAAGTCACCCCAGCCTTATCTCTCGTTCCTGTAACCTAGCCAGTGGATCATAATTCAGCCTCTTTTAGAACAGTTTCAGTTACATGGCACTCATTACTTTAGGAACAGCCCATACCACTGTCAAACAACTCTACTCTTTTAAAAGTTCTTATTAAGAATAAAAGTCTACTTGAGAAAGTTTCAACCACTGATTCCAGTTTTGTTCTCTGACATTATACAGAATAAGTAACTTCAGGTAATGGAGAGGCATGTATTCTTGAAGCTTTCAACTCTGCATCCCAGCTTTGTCCAGTATCTTTTCTGGATACATGACCATTAGCAAGTTACTTCACAACTAAGAGCCATAACTTCCTTATCTGGGAAAAGAGGTAATAAGTACCTAAAGGGCTAGTTGAGGATTAAGTAAGACAGCCCTTGGGAAACTCCTGACATGTCATGTGTTCAAAGAACATTTGTGCCTTTCTCTCCCATCCCATTCCTCACCCCAGGAAAACACTTCTGGTATTTGAAAGCAACTATTACGTCTCCCCCAGCCTTTCTTTTCAATCCAAACTTAAACATCCTTCAACCATTTCTCATGACTGCCCCATGAGCTCAAGGGCAGGGAGACATAACTCATTCAACCCTAAACATCCCCAGTGTCTGGTACAGTGGCTGCAAAATAGTTGGTACTCTGGGAATATGACTGATCAAAATTAAGATGACCTTCACACACCAATCCAAGTTCTCAGCAGAAGCCTTCTCCATTTTAGAGGAATGCTGAGATTTTTTTTTAAAGATTTATTTATTTATTTATACAAGCACTGGACACAGTCAGAAACGCAGGAAGGTGAGAGGATTCACCAGAGCCAGAGTGGGGAACAGAACAGGAAGACTGATGAAACACATTGCTGGGGGAGCAGCAGGCACAGCAGGAGAGGTCTGTCGTGCCATGTGGGACCCTTGCCTGCGGCCGGGGATCGAACCAGCGCTGTGGAGGCTGAGGGCAGCTTCGCAGCCCGGCGCTCAACCGCTGCGCCACCAGGGGAGGCCCTGAGATTTTTTTTTTTAAAGGCAGAAACTATCAACATACACCACCCGCCCCCGCCCCACCCCTTATGCTTGCTTGATTATCAGGAATATCAGAATAAGGTTTTGCTCAATATAAATATGCTCTGTAGCCTTAGTTCTCTCATAAAATTACCCCCCAACCCCTTCCTTCATTATCCTGATCTTCTGTCTTTTTTACATAGATCGATTTCTTAGATCTTTTTATAAGCAGACAAGAGTATTTTAAAACAAACACTATTCTCTTTTTAAATACCTGAAAAAAATGAAATCTAATTCTCCTGATAATTAAATATTCTTTACTCAGAGTCACTCAGATTTAAGAGTAAATGAAAACATTTGCCGTTTTAGCATCTCAGACTCAGACCCTCTCCTCAGCTTAATGATTTCCACATCACTCTTTTCCCCTTACAGAAAGAACTCAGTCATAAAAATGCCCATTTCTAAACACTTTGGATTATAAAAGTTCCTTTAAAGAGCAAATACCACGCCTATTTAAAAAAATAGCACATCTGGGGCCTCCCCTGGTAACGCAGCAGTTGAGCGCTGGGCTGCGAAGCTGCCCGCAGCCTCTGCAGTGCTGGTTCAATCCCCCGCCACCAGCGAGGGTCCCACCATGCCCGCTGTTCCCCTCAGCAGTGTGTTTCATCGTCTGCCTGTTCTGTTCCCCACTGTGGCTCTGGTGAATTCTCTCACCCTCCTGCACATCTGACTGTACCCAGTGCTTGTATAAATAAATAAATAAATCTTTAAAAAAAAAAAAAAAGGAACATCTTAGGTCAACGAATTTCTGCATATCCAGTGAGACATCTTTTTTTCTGACTCTGCCTCTGAGCAAGGAGAGTAGAGCATTGAAACACCTGAAATGACTGGTATCTCCACTTGGTCACATGGCTAAATGGAGCCTTTACTTTTAAACACATGATTGGCACCCATCTATCAAGCTGGGTCAAATATAGTCCATCATGTGGGCAGAGAGAAGAATCAGACATCTGATGTCCCTGCCAGCCCTGTGATTTGTCAAACAAATATAATTGTGTCTGTAGGTTAAAAAAAAAAAAATAACAACACCACCCTGAAGTTCCTTCAAGACTATAACCTGCCAAGTCAGTCAACGAAGATACCCCTCGCCCTTCCTTTGGAAGCCGATTGAAGCTGCCTAAAGCAGGGGAATAAATGAGACAAGCTAAGACATAATAATAAGGAAATAAAAATAAGACAGCAGAGAAAGAGGAGAGACTGGGTTTGGGTGGTGATGAATCAGGGCATTAGACCCGGAGGGTGTCTCCTTCCTAACTGTGCAATTAGGGACAGAATAAAAGGATTCTGCGCCTGCTGTCAGCTCACAGCTCTCTGCCCCACATTCCACTGGCTCCCATTCGTGAACAAGGTAAGTCTCATAGACTTTCTGCTTGAAGATACGTAGGCTCCTGCCTGCTGCTTTGCTCATATGTGAGACTGTATAGGGTTTCAGAGGAAGCACACTTTAAGTTGGCTCCTTTTAATACTACACTGGGGGTCTGGCCATCTACATGCATTCCTTGCTTATAGAACTTCTTTGATGATTTTTTTTAACATGAGCTGCTGGGAGGATATCAGCATGATAACTATTTAACAAGACATGGGGCTCTGTCCTATATTAAAATGAAAATATAGAACTATTTTAACTGTGGGTAATGATTTCGGGGTCAGGACTCTGTTTACCAGTGAGTTCACTGAGCCCGTGTCTTCTTGGAAAGAACATAATGCTTCCACCTGAATATATAGGAGTTGATTTTCTTGGTGTTACTTCTATTTCTTCTAGAACTTGTGCTAACTTCAAAGTTATATTCTCCTAAACAGAGCTAGAATAAGCCAGGTATAAGAAAAATAGGAGACAATTTCAATGAGGCTGGGGGGTTGGTCCCACTTTGTTGTTGGCTTCCTGTGTGCAGTGTAGTACTTGTATAGAGTTCTTTTGACATCTCCTTTTTGCAATAATTTTTTTCTGTAAAAAATAAACGTCACTGTTTTTCTCAGGGTGGGGTGAAGTAACCACCTATACTAACCTAGTAACCACCTGTACTAGCTCTGATCTCACCACATTGTCTGGTACCAAACTAAATCTACCCTGATTCAGATGCACCATGTTGAGGCATAGACTACAGCAGATGCCGCAAGGGATGCTGGGGAAAGACAGAAAGAAAGGCTATCTTGGCATCTCCTCTCTGAAGAACCATCCTGGGAAATGCACTCTGTGTTCTCTCGCAGTCTCCTGAGCGTGTCGAGATGCCTCAGCTGCTGAGAGATGTCCTCTGTGTAATCGACACATTCCACAAGTACGCCAGGGAAGACAGCAACGAGGCGACGCTGACGTATAGAGAGCTGAAACAGCTCATCCAGGGCGAGTTTGGAGACATTCTGCAGGTGAGGTGGTCATGGAGCTAGGGGGCTTCTCCCCTTGCCCTTTCTCCATAATCCAGACAAGATGAGCTTGGAGCCCTGCAGGCGAAGGAGCTGATCCCTTTCACACTTATCTCCCAGCTCTCAGCATTCACTGACTTTGGAGCAATATTTCGCAGTCTCCCTACTCTCTGCAATTGCTTGATCAGTCTCTTAGAGAAAAAAGGAGCGTTTTCTCACTGGGATTACTGCTTCAGCAAAGTAGGCTTTTGAGAGGCGTGGTGATGCATTAGGCAGCAAAACACAACCAGCAGAGTCCATGTTCCATCTTGCCATAGCACTGATACCAGCCAGCATTGCGAATTAACGGTCTTACATTTGGGGGAATTTCACAAGGAATAGGGTAAAAAAAAAAAGAGGAATCTTGGGAGACATGAAGACACTCAGGACACTTGACCACATATAAACAGGCTGATTTCTCATTGTGTTTTCCTGCAGTCCAGTGTCATTCATGCTGTGGAGAGAAACTTGAACCTTTTGAATATTGACAGTGATGGCACCATCAGTTTTGATGAATTTGTTCTTACAATCTTCAACCTGTTGAATCGCTGTTATCGCAACATACAATCATTACTAAATTCAGAACCAAGACAAGTGTCTAAAACAGGGAAGCCAAATAATGTGGATCTTCAGGCAAGCAGCGGGGCTGGCCGACAGGCAGAAGGCGCTTCACCAACTCAAGACAAGATAGTGTTTCCTTCAAAAACAGCATCCTCAGCTGAGCTCAGCCCTGAGGAAAGGGGAGCAGATGGACACAATAGCACGGGCCCACATGGAGACACCAAGACTAACAAGCTGCTGAGAGAAGCATCCGGGTGCAATGACCCTAAGAACCAACACTTGGAAAGAGATCAACAGAGCCAGGAAGATGCACCAACAGGAGACGAGGCACAAGTTGAGACACATAAGCCAACAGCAAGAGCAGGACAGACGGGCAGTCCCACAAAGCAGGAGAGTCAGAATAAAGAAATTCCCAGGGAGAGAGATGAGCCAACCAGGGAGCAGCGTAGTACTGAGACAAGGGAGCAGTTTGGGAAACAGGAAAGAAATCTGGGAAAACACAGTTCTCCGGCAGAAGAAACACTGCAGAGACCACCAAAGGGCCAGGAAGTTACAGCAGGAAAGAGTGGTGAGGGACACTCTGAAACACAAGAACTGACAGGGAAAGGTGAACCCAGTTCAGAATGTGCTGAATCACAAGAACAAACAGCCACTCAGAAACCACTCCACACACAGAAATCAAGTGTTCCTGAGGATGAGAGCGGAACAGCTGAGACACAAGAAGCAGGAAAGGATGCTGACAGGGCCCTGCCTGAAACAAAGGATTCAGCTGAAACTGAGTATGATGATAAAGCATCTGAATCCCAAGAACCCCCAGCACAAGAAGGAAAACAGGGCCTGCTAGTCCACCATGATAGCAGAAATGTTTCAGAAATGCCCAATGTTCGAGCTGAAGGAAAAGAGAGGGAAGGCATTGAGGGCCATGAAACAGGAGAACAGAAAGAAAGTGAGAGAAAAACTCAAGCAGCAGCCCTGGAAGACCAAACACAGGATGAGAAGTGCCAGAAGCTCCAGGAATCATCAAAAGAAAGAGATGCCAAGAAAATTTCTAAGATACAAGAGTTAAGCTCACAAGGAGGTGAAGAGAATCATCCTGAAATAGAAGAAGAGGCAAGACATGCTGAGGAAGGCACCGCAGAAGCAGCTGTGAGCAGCAAAAGTGCCCCTGCAGCAGAAGGAACACCAGGGAAAGGAGAAAGAAAGCAGGAGCTGGCACTCCCTGAGAACCAGTCAAGAGGAGAAAACAGGCAGGTCACCAACACTCATGACAAGCTGACTGAGGACCGTGGTGACCAGGGACAAAATCCTGAGCCAACAGTCACACAGAATGAAGGGTCTTTGAAAAACTCCAACGATCTGAGTCCAGAGGAAGGTGACAGCAGCTCAGAGACAAGTGACCCACCTGCACAAGGGGATGCCCAAAGTCAAGTATATCTACTCGGAGAGACTGTGCAAGGAAGTCAGAATAATAACCCAGACACCCAGAAACAGGTAGCACCAGGCGAGACTCAAGAGGCAGCGGTGCCGGCAGTCAGAGGTGAGAAGGAGCAGCACGTGGAGGAAGAGAAACAGCCTGCTGGAGGAGAGCACCAGCAGCAGGGCTCAGGGACCAAAGGCCCAGACCCAAATGAGGAGCCCAGTGAATACCCAGAGACACAGGAGTCCACAGCAGGAGGTGAAAACAGAAAGTCCCTGGAAACAGAGGTCCCAGGCCTGCAGGCTGCAGACCTCACTGAACAGCTGTCCATAACACCGCTCCCTGCAAAGGAAGACAGCAGAAAAGAAGAGGAAGGTGGAGCACCAGAGACCCAGGAGACCCAGGTACAAAGTCTGAAAGAGGACAATTCAACCCCTCCTGAGACATACCTTAAAACAAAGGAAACTGCAACATCAGCAGAAGAGGATGAAGGCCCCTTAGAACTGGCAGAAGAAGATGTTGACCAACCAAACCCAGCCAAGAGAGTACATGATTCTGACTCTGCAGTCTCCCAGCCAGGCCTTAAAGAGAAGACACAGAAAGCGCAAGAGTCACGTCCTGTGGAGAGGGGTACAATCTATCCCAATCCACTGTACACATACCTGCAGGAGAAGATACTGCAGCAAACAGATGTAACTCAAGAGGAACATCAAAAACAAACTCAGACAGTCAGGGCATCGAGTCCAGAGCTCGGCAACCACCCTTCCATTGCATCCCTCACTAATGAAAGCCAAGTTTTACAACAGTGCACCAGGGAGCTTCTGCCTGATGAGGACCCTGCAGACACACAGCAAACATCTGTTCTCCAGACCTTGGGAGATGAGGACAGCCCGCAGAGAGAGGCGCCAGAGCCACAAAGGGAGGCAAGCACCAGCAAGCAATGATTTCCTCTTATCCCAGGGGAAGAAATTCCAGGAAAAGTCACATATCTCAATATTGCCCCAGATTCTTCCCTCCCAAGTCAGCCTCAACACACACACACACACACACACGCACACGCACACACACACACACACTCAAACTAAGTGAGTTATCCCTTTAAATTCCCTTCCCAAATTTCCACAAAAGCAAATAATAAACTATTCAACTGTGGGAGTTACCCCCAAAGTTTCAAGCCAAATAAAATCCACACCAAACAAAACATCCTACCATAGGATGCTACTAACCAGTGCAGAAATGGATTTCACATAAGACCATTTATCACCATTTCCCTGTCACTGAACATAGAAAGATTGTTTCCATGTCTTTAACAGATTCATTGATTCATTGGCATTTTAAGCCATGGCAGTCAGTAGGATCAATGAAATTCTCAATACTCTTATAATCATAAAGTGTCATTAATTTGTAGGTGCAGATTATTCTACTTCATGACATTTCCTGCAAGGATTTCAAGTTATCCTAAAATTTTATGATGCAAAGCAATTTCATTTCTCACTATAACTTAAAATAATTATGATTTTCTAAATTTATGACTAAATTTATGACTAGCACCCAACTAAATTTATGACTCTTTGTTCATGTCCAGATACAACTGAATCCACACTACACATCCATTTATTCATTTGTTCATTCAACAAACTGTTATTAAATCCCAGTCCTTAGATAAGCAATCAGAATAATTATGAAATAATTAGAAACTCTTATAACCAACCATCCACTAAGTCTATGAAGCATTTATCCATAGGGATCTCTGAGGGCATTGTATCAAAACTGATAATTAAACAACACGATGATCAGTATCTATTTTTGTCCTTTTTTCCTTCATTCTCCATCTAATCTTAGAGCCATAATCAGAAGCAAAAATAATCATAATGTTCATATTTGTTCAAAAGTTTATCCTAAAGGATGATGTTCTCAGAACTTAATAGTGAATTGGGAAAGGAATAAATTATCACATAAAGCCAATACCCCATCTGCCATGGTATTCTGCCTTCAAGTACAATATTCTTTCATTTCAACTCACACTGTTCAAGAATCTGGAAGTTTTGTATATATATCACATATATATGATATATATGATATATATATGAGACAGATATATGAGATATATAGAGATTCAGAGAGAGAGAGAGAGAGATAAGATATATGTGTATATATATGTATCTCCTCCCTCTACAACATTACAACATTTTCAGCTCTTTGCATTCTGCCTTTAAACATCCCTATCTAAAAATACATTTTCTTAAATGAACAAGAGAAAACTCACACAAAAAGAAAATATATACTAGAGCTTAAACTAATCATCCTCTTTGTCAAACAACTTGGCTATATATATTAAGGACCAAAAAATTACAAAGGCCATGAAAAAGGCCATGAATAATAAACTCATAAAAGAAGCTTTACAGATGGCCAATAAGTCAATGAAATCCTCATTAGTCTTCAAGAAAATGCAATTTAGAAATATTTTTCTCACTTACTAAATTAATAGAGGTTATTTGTTTGTTTTGGTTTTGTGGGTTTTTTTTTCATTTAATGATAGATTTTCTTTAACCCAACATATTAAAAACATCATTCTTCATGTAACTGATATAAATAATTAATGATAATGTGCACTTTGGGGTTGCATAGTCTTCAAAATCTGAAGTATATGTTACACTCAGCATATCTCAATTTAGATGTTAAATTTTCAAATGTTGAAGTAAAATGCAGTACTATCAAAACATTAGAGCTGTATTCAATAGGAAAATATACCATTTTTATACTGCTTTGGCTTTAATATATAAATTAATTAAAATTAGGTAAATTTGAAATTAAGGTCCTCAGTCAAACTAACCACGTTTCAAGACACCTTGAGGTGGCGAGTGCCCCGGACACACCGTGGGGCTGGTTGGGACCGGCACGATGCAGGAGCAGGTAGATATGAAATAACTCAAGTAAAAGAGAGTGACCTGGACCAGAGTGGTAGCAGTGGAGGGGTGAGAATTAGTTGTGTTCAAGATATGTTTTAAAGATAGAGCCAATGGGCCGCCCCTGGTGGCGCAGCAGTTGAGCGCTGGGCTGTGAAGCTGCCCGCAGCCTCTGCAGCGCTGGTTCGATCCCCGGCCACGGGCAAGGATCCCACATGACGCGCAGACCTCTCCTGCCGCCTGCTGCTCCCCTCAGCAGTGTATTTCGTCAGTCTGCCTGTTCTGTTCCCCACTCTGGCTCTGGTGAATTCTCTCACCCTCCTGTACTTCTGACTGTAACCAGTGCTTGTATAAATCTTAAAAAAAAAAAAAAGATACAAGAGAAAGAAAGGACTCAGCAGTAGCCTTGTCTGAAGGCTACTTGAAGAATGAAGAATGAAGTTAACATTTACTGAGATGAAGGGCGAGATGGGAGATGGAGATTACTGGACAGGATGAGGAGTAAAGAGGGGTTAGATTTTGGACATATTAAGTTTGAGATGCCTATTAAACGTCAAAATGGAGTGTCTGTGTATTTGCTTTTAATAACCACTCAGTGAGATTGGACACAGGAATTCTGCAATCAGTCAGCTGATGCGTGGGTAAGTGAGCACAGCCTTCCTGGAAGACAGGATACAAGGAATGCTAGAATACAACAGTGTTCAATACTAAGCGGACTCCCCTGGTGGTGCAGGCGGTTGAGCACAGCGCTGTGAAGCTGTCCGCAGCCTCTGCAGTGCCAGTTTGATCCCCGCCAGCCAGCGAGGGTCCCACAAAGCGGCAGACCTCCCCTGTCCCGCCTGCTGCTCCCCTCAGCAGTGTATTTCGTCAGTCTGCCTGTTCTGTTCCCCACTTTGTCTCTGGTGAATCCTCTCACCCTCCCACGCATCTGGCCTGTACCCAGAATCTTGTATAAATAAATCTTTAAAAAAAAATACTATGCACAAAAATATTTAAACTATTTCTCAGATAGCATTAAAAGGAAATAATCATAAGTGTGTATAAAGAGTCATCTACAAAGCTATTATTCAGAGCATACTAAAGGTAGCAACAACCATTAATATTCTAAATGTCTATCATTACCAGAAAAGTTAACTGAATTATGGTTACTAGATACTGTGGAATCCCAAAAAAGCCTTTAGAAATTATAAGGCAGGATATGACTAAATTAAATGAAGGAGTCATAAGATACTAAGCTTTGGGTAATTATAAAATGATAGTATTTGTTCACATTTAAAGATTAATGGATAAAGTATGAGATCAAAATCTTAATAGTAGTTATCTTTAGATATGACAATAAATGATACTTCCTGATTTGAGGTTTTCCTCATTTTACAATTAATAAATATTTCTAAAATGAAATATGGTACATGCCATTTTAAAAACTAATTGATAGCGTTTAATTCTAACCTCAAGAAATAACCTAAAATAAAAGAAAATTTTCATCACAAATATATTCCCAATGCAATTTTTTTTTAAAGATTTATTTATTTATGCATACAAGTACTAGGGTGTAAGCCAGAAGTGCGGGGGCAGGGGATGTGAGAGAATTCACCAGAAAGAGTGGGGAGCAGAACAACCAGATCTACTGAAATACACTGCTGAGAGCAGCAGCAAGCGAGACAGAAGAGGTCAGCTGTGCCATGTGGTCACCTCCCTGGCCAGCCAGGGATAGAATTCGTGCTGCAGTGGCTGGCGACAGCTTGATAGCACTGCATCTTTAACCCCTGTACCACCAGGGAGGCCCACACTTATTTATAATAATAAAATATTTTATTTTTTTTTTTGCTGGCATAATTATTTCAACTTTATTTTTTTAAATTAATTTCAACTTTATTTTTTTTATTATTATTTTTTTAATAATAAATTTTATTTTTATATTCCCCATACAATTGCAGCCCCCCCATTCTGACCCCAGTCTCTCCCCTCCCACCCCCGCCCCCTTAAAAGTGTCTCTGGTTCGTAGTTTTTTGTTGATTTTGATTTTCAATAATAAAATATTTTAAAAATCAAATTTCAAACAATTAGGAAGCAGGTTAGGAGAAATCATAAAATATTATATCATCATAAAATATCCTCTCTAAAATATGCATTTATGAAGCATCTTCAATCACTTATGAAAACTTCCATGTGGAAAAACATGAACCTTTCTGTGCTTACAGCATAACTATATTCAAAGAATGTATACAGACACACACACACACACACACACACAAAGAGAGAACGAGAATACACCTAGTAACCTTATAATCTAAGAATCTACCACACATCTCTTGGTGATAGAATTATGTAACTTTTTTTCTTCTCTCTGATTCTATATTTTCATATTTTCCTGTACTGAACATATTTCATTTATTTTCCTACCTGAAAAAATAACAAATAATAATAGCAACAGTTTTTAAATATTCTCTTCACACCTAGAAACTGTCCAATTTTTCTCTCCTTTATCCCTAACATAGGGGAAAATTTTCCAGCATCCTACAAAAATTGTTCCCTTCCAGATGACATCACCTTCATCTCTCAAGCATAGAGACCTCTACCCTCGTTCTGGGACCTCACTGTGCAGTGGACACTGATGACCTCTCTTCCCCAAACACTCATTTCACTTGTCCTTCCCCGCCCCCACTCCTCTCTGTGTGTCCTCCTCGTCCAGTTCTGTGGGCCCCTTCCAGGGCCTCTTCTGTTTCTGGACTTTCTCCCTCTGAGAACCCATCCTTGACTTAAAAGTCAATATTAGTTCCTCTATACTGAGTCTCAACTCACCTTGTTCCCACTTGACGATGCACCTCAGCCCAGTCTGTACCAGTGCTCATGCGATATCACCCCTGATATTGCCAACCACTTCCCAAAGAACTCACTTCTCTTCTCAATCGCCCCTCTTCTGTCATTTTCTCTATCCACATTCTATCAGGTTTCAAAGGCACAAACTGTGGACTCATCACTTGCCCTGTTTCTTTTATGCTCTGTATCTAAAGCACCACAGTATCTCCATAGATTTC